ATGGGATATCTGCCAAGTCTGAAAGCCACCTACTCCATGTGAGTGGACCTTTTAATGCTGTGAAGTGACCAATAAGCCATATCAATATAGCCAGAGGCCACCAGGAAGCTGCACAGAGGGAGGAACAGATTGAGCCTTAGCCCCTGGGCCAATCAAGTCCAAGTCTGGTGCTTATGGGAGAGTGTGCAATGTTCAGCTACAACAAATCAATACTGGGTCCAAAGGGCCTGGGCCATTTTGCCCTCTCCTCTGCTCTGGACTCATACTCATAGATGGACTTTAAGCCTGTAAAATTCTTCTGAGATGCTGCAACAACATAAGGCACCCCAATTTTTTTTCCCCACAGATCCACATAGGAAATCCAGCTGGAGGGCTGGACAATATCTCCAATTGTCTCTTCCAACACAAGGCACAAAAAAATCTTCTGGGTCTTTGAAACAAACTAGGATAACTTAGATTTTCTCCAGGGATCCCTAAAAGACATAGGGCATCTAACTATGGATGTAGACAAAATCTCTGTATCACTTTCTACACAGAGACCAACAAAATATCCCCAAGGGTCCCCGTACTACAGTTAATCTCTTTGGATATCCAGGCAAATTTCCTCTGGATCCCTGTTGGAAGGGGCTCACCCATATTTCCCCAATAGATCCCTGCCACTGCAAGGGCAATTCTAACAGAATTCCAAAATCACCAAACAGTGGCATAATCAAGATGAGCTTGAGAGAAAAGAAAACAGAATCAGCTAAGCTGCTAGTATATTCAGGGCTCCCAAAAGGGATGAAGCATTTGGTATTGATTACTAAGAGTTTCTGAGCAGTCAGCAGGCTCACTGTCCCAATCCATACTCAGACTAGAAAGTCAGGTCCCCAGAGTGTTTCTTCTTTCTCCCCTCAGGGCTCTAGGGGTAACCCTGAAGAGCTGGGGTCATTTAGGAGTATCACTCATGAGTCCTCATTCAGTGTGTTCCCCCAACAGAGATTGCCAGTTAATATCTCCCCAATATCATTTATAACAAATGAACATCAATTAACTTTTTACAAAGAGGGATTTACTGAAACTCCATATCCCCAACCACAAGGGTTGGAGATGTCTTTCTAATGCCATTGCTCGCAAGTCCCCACTGGTTTATTAGTTTATGTCAATTACCTAGCTAGACTTAGTCAGATGCCCTTTCCTCAGTGTGACCAGATTGTCACTGGCTCCCAAATGCAGACATTGCTATCAACTAATATTGTTCCAGGGGTACTGCTATGTTGCTGATGGGATGTCAAAACCTTCTAACCTTTCAAAGTCCACAACGTTATCCAATTAACATTGATTAACTTTTATCAAGGGATATTTTCCTTGAGGATTTAGTAGGAATTGAAGTATAAATATCCCCTTCTCCAACCCCTAGGGGCACACTCTCCCTTATACCATCTTGATTCCTGAAGAGAATGGACTCAGGCTTAACTCATTTTCTACATAGCATTTACTATACCAAGTTCATTTCCAAATATGGCATAACCTCTGATTGAGTCTGTGCTACCACTGGACGGGGTCCCAAGGGTTTTTCCTTAGGTATCAATGCTGAACCAGCTGGCCACAAAACTCAACTTAGACTCTATTCCTGGATCTCCTGTTGACTCACTTTCTTGACTTTTAAAAACTCACAAGATCATAGCAATCTCTAATCTCCTTCACCTAAAAGATAGTAAATATCAATAGCTGGTAACAGCTAGCATTTATATAAGCACTTACTATGATTTTCTAGGTACTGCGCTAAGCACCTTACAATTATCATCTCATTTGAGCCCCACAACAACTCTGGGAGATAGGTACTATTATTATCCCCATTTTACAGAAATTGAGGCAAGCTTAAGTGACTTGCCCAGGGTCACACAGCTAGTATTTGAGATTGGATCTGAACTCAGGTCATTTTGATTCTAGGTTTAGAACTCTATCCACTGTACCATCAAAGTGCCCCTAAGAAGAAGGAAAGAATGGACAACAGAAACAGAAGCAACAGCAGGCCAAGTGTTCTCAGCTTCATGCCCAGGCAAGAGAAGACTCGAGGCCCCTCCCCTATCCAGAGGCACTCAGTAGCTTGTCCTCCTCCAACGCCAGCAAGTCTGGAAAAGAGCCAGTATGAAGAGACTCATCCTAACTGGGTAGTGTCTTTTTGAGTGCTCACCAATTCCATCCTCCTAGACAAAGAAGGTCCTCTTCCCCTATACTGTTGCAAGTGAATTTTTGGGAGAACATAACTGATTCCATTTTGTTCTATATCCACCATCTTGCTGTATATGACCCCTGCATGAAATGCAAGACAAGTTGACTGCAGTTGCTGATTTCTTTCAGTGTCTTCTTTTCCTCCTCTAATTGGTACAAAAAAGACTTAATAGGTTTTTAAAAAAAAAGAAAGAAAACAATTTCAGAGTCTCTGGATGTCCCTTTCTTTTATCTAGGCTGACAGGTAGTTCCTTTTGATTTAGCAAAACTAGCTATACTAGCAAGGACACATCTCTTATCTATCTCCTGATGCTAATGATATACATTTTCCTTAAGAAGCATACTATTTTTTGTTTTGTATGGCCAGCTGCATTGTTATGAGCAATCATTTTTTCCTTTGTTTCATATGTTTGCTTCATATAATTTATTTGTTTCATATAATAAGCAAATATCGTATGCTAAATTGTGAATGACAGCATTCTCCATCAACTCTTAGTGGGATATGCCACACTCTGAGTGTAATAAAGCCTGTCTTCATATTCATTCAGGCTTATCAGCCTTAGCTGGTCAAGTTGATTAAAAAAATAAAAAATCATGCAACAATACTTGGGAAATTGGAACCTGTTTGTAATATCTGCGCGGGTTTCAAATCCGAAGCACTTCCTTTCCATGTCATTATATTTTTCTAGAAGGCTTCCCACACCATCCTACATGGGGAACTGCATCAGCACCCCTGTTACATAATGACTTGCTGCGGTTGGATAAGATCATAGATTTAGAGCTTGTTATCTAATGCAGCCCTGTCATTTCACAGAGAAGAAAGTGGAAGACTAAAGAATGTTAAGTGACTTGCTCAAAGTCACGCAGGTGGTAAATGGCAGAGGTATGATTCAGAAAGAACCATTATGAGGCTTTATCATTCGCTCCACATGTATGATGAGCCTGCTGTATGTCATCTAAGGAATTCCATATGCTTCAGGGTTGTGACAGATGGTGCAAAATAAACAACAATGCCCTTCCAAATTAGGATGTTAATTCCAAGTGCAAAATGTAAATATTTGAGCAAGGAGAGATAATGTCGTAGAAAGTATTCTTCTAATAACTCCACAAGGTCAGCCCATGTCTTAGTTTTAGGTGAAAGTGAGGCAGTGATAGATCTTATTATGACATATATTTGGACCCCATAGAATTTCAGGAGCACAACACAGAACTCTTTGGGACTCTCTGCTTGTTTGTTTCAAGGTAGAGACAAATAGACTCAGTGTAAGCAATATAACTCACACTAACATAGCTCTTTATAATTATAAATCACTTTGCAAGCATCTCATTTGAACTTCCCAATATTATTATTCGTATGTGGCCATCATAGGGTGTGGCCGTGAGCAAGACTGTTCGACCACTCCTCAGTGCTCCCTTTGCCCTACTACTGGCTTGTCTGTTTGGGTATGCCAATACAAACACTCCTCCTTTGCTCTGTCAAAGTTCTATCAAAAGATCTGCCACTACCTCTATCATTTTGAGAGGCAGAACCCTGACTATATATTTTAGTGTTAGCACAGTGCCTAACAATATAGTAAATGCTTAACAAATGCCTGTTGACTTGCTATTGTTAGAACACTCTCTCCTTCTGGAGGTTGGGGAGAGGGGAGGAAGGGGTGAAAAAAGGGAAAGGCAACCTCTTCTATTGACTTATTTCCAATAAGCACAACCAAACTAGCAGAGGCCTACTATTAACATTGTTTATAAAGACAAAATAAACATTTAAAACAAAGAAAGCTAAAGACCTTTCTGGCCCGGAAGGAGTGTCTTTACCCTTTTAGGATGGAGCCCAAAAGGACAAAGGAGATATAAGATTATCACTTTGAGGTCTATAATGCAATACAGCAAGCATCTGTCCCAACACTTCTCAAACCCAATTGGCCCACGTAGCTTTGTTCTTAGAATTTTAGCCTCAGGGCTTTTCCTGCAGCCTATTTCATCTTCTTTGTACCTCATCAAGAGCTTACTACTGAAGTCTGGTCTCTGCCTGTCTTTCCCTGGAATTTCGCTTTTGTCAGATTGCCAGCTGTTTAACTATTTAAAACCCTGCCGCGGTATGATTAATTTTCAGTGCAGGAAATCTCAAATTGTCTCTCTAATTGCATCAGAGACAGATGTTCACACTTTGTTAAGAGATCGGGTACGGACACCCTGTTAACATGCTACCCATCATCTGTGAGTACATCCCTTAACAACACATTACTAAAAGGATGGTTAGTGAAGATCTAGAAAGTCAAGCAACGATCACAAAGTTGAATGGCTGCATCAATGACAGGTCAAGCTAGACTAATTTCATTTCCTATTTCAGAGGTTATTAGATTTACAGATCTGAAAACACTATAGATAGAATTTGCTTAGATTTTAGTGGAGTATGGAGTACTTGACAAAATCTCTCATACTGTTTGTCTCTCTGTGGTTGTTTTTAAAATAAAATTTCATTGATCTCTTATATTGTCCAGAATGTCATTATTAAGTCTACATTTGGTTGTACTCCACTATTATTATTTTTGTGTTGTGATCTGTAAAGGATATGTTTAACATCATTACTTTCTTAGAATTATCTGTAATTTCTGTTTCTTTGGAGGGCTTGGAATATGATATTCCGTAAGGCAAAGGAGCTTGGATTACAACCAAGGATCAACTCCCCAGAGAAGTTGAGCATAATCTTTTGGAGGGGAGATAGATATTCAATGAAATAGGGGAATGCCAAACTTTCCTGATGAAAAGACCAGAGCTCAACAGAAAACCTGATCTTCAAATGCAAGACTCAAGACAGGCGTAAAAAGGTAAACAGGAAAGAAAAAGCAGCAACACGTTATTCAATAAGGACAAATTGTTTAGATCCTACAAGGGAAGATGATACTTGTAACTCTTGAGAACTGTATCTTTATTATGACATTTAAAAGAGGTACACATAGACAAAGGGTATAGGTATAAGTTGACTTTGCTGTGATGACAAAAAGTCTAAGTGGTGAAAGTGGATTTAACTGGGAGAAGAGGAAAGGAGGAGGCAGAAAAGGGTAAATTATATCACATGAAGAAGCACAAAGACCTGTTACAGTAAAGGGAAAGAAGGGAGGGGGATGAGGATTGTTTGAACCTTACTCTCAACAGATTTGGCTCAAAGAGGGAATAACATAATCAGTTAGGTATAGAAATTTAACTTACCCTATAGGAAGTAAGACAGGAAAGGGGAAAGAAAAGGGAGGGAGCTGATCATAGGGAGGGCAGATTGAGGGAGGCTGTGGTCAAAAGCAAAAGTAGTGAGGAGGGAAAGGAAAAAAAGGAGAGAGGAAAGCATAAACAGAGGGGAAATCGGAGAGAAAGACACCGGTAGTAATCACAAGTGTGAATGTGAAAGGGATGAACTTTCCTATAATTTCTGTTTCTTAGTACATGGTTTATTTTTGTAAAGACACCATGTGGTGCAAAGAAATATTCTTTAATTTTCCAATTCAGAAAATACCATAAGCCTTTCAGCTCCAAGAGTGGAACACTGACTTCTATTACCCCTGTGCTGTTGCCCATATCTTTTTAGAATTCAATTCGCTTTTCCTTAATGAATTTAGATGCTATACTGTTTGGTATATATGTTTACCTATTGTTTATAGTTCATTGAAAATACAGTTTCCTTGTTTCTCTCTATTAATATTGTGAATTTTTATTTTAGTTTTGCTTGAGAGTGCAATTGCAATTTCTGCTTTTTTTTTTTTAGATTTACCTAATGCGTAGCAAATTTTATTGCAGCCTCTCATTTTGATTCTGTGTATGTCTTTGCTTTTCAGGTCTGTTTCCTGCTTGGTTTTAAGTCCCACTGCACAAGTCACTTAACCTCTCAATCCTTTAGAATCAATGATGTCAAGCTCCAACAGAAAGGGTGGCTGCTAATCCATACAGGAGGATCCCTTTGGGCTATATGCAGACTTAGTTTTAAAACTGTATTTATCCTGTTTTGGAAGGAACACTTGGGAGTATTACAGCATACATGTTTGCCGCCTCTGCTCTAGATAACCCTCCAAGACTAGAGGTTGCAGAGAAAGTCCTGGACTGTTTTGTTGGAAGGAATTTCCTTATCTGGACGTTTTCTGTAACAAGGAAATCACCATTTCAGCCCTATCCCTTCTTATATATTGTTGTATTTTGTTTTCTTGATAAAGTCTACCACTCTTTTATGGATTGTTTCGTTATGAGCATCATCTTTGTGTTTTCTTCATTCATTTCTTTAGGATAGTTTAACATTTTTTTATCTCTTCTCTTTTAAATCAGTAGTTTTCTCCGCCATTAGTTTTGCTTCAACTACTTGATGCTAATCTGTTCCCACAGGCTATCTTTCCCTCCCCCATTCCCATTTGCCTACCCTTTCCCTAGTGTTTGTGTTTTACTTCAACTATTTTTTTTCTTTTATTTATTTAATTATCTATTTCTTCTACTCCTTTGTCCCACGTCTTTCCCCTCCCGGTTAAGTGATTAGTTCAAAATCTTCTCTCCCTTCCACCCCTTCAACTTCTTTTATTTATTAGGGTTTTTTAAATTTTTATTTCTTTTCCTTCATGATTTCTCTTCTAGTCTATTCTGCCAGTTTATTCTCTTATTCATGGATTATACCACTATTTATTCCACCTTTGTTCTTTCTGTGTTCCTCGTGAAGTCAAAACTCTGAAATACTGAGTTTGAGGTCCCTCTTCTTTTTCTTTTTTAATGACCAGATTTCCCTCTCTTGCCCAGTGAGAAAGTAGCCCAGGGGCACTTCTCAAGAGCAAAGTCCTGCTCTGATTTGCATGGGATCTTTGACCTGTTTTGTTTCCAACCTCGGCCAATTCACTTTTCCAGGGGCAACTTGGTGCACCACCCCTGTTCTGGAGGCTCATCTTATTCATGCCAGTGGAAAATTTCAATCCACTTAGCTCACTTCCAAACTCCCCAGCTCAAAAGATCCACCAGCCTCATCTTCCCCCGTTGCAAGGATTACAGCCACCACACCTGGCTGAATGCCCCTCTTCTAGCCACTTTCAGTTTTGTTACTTTTATAGACCTTGCCCCATTATTCCTTTTTATCTACTGTGCCTCACTCTTAGAAGTATTAATTCATGATGCAAACAATGTTGAACAGAAATAGTATTATATGGCTACCTCTGTTCCAAATTGTGTGGCCCAGTCCTTCTCCAGTCTCAACCATGATCAATTTCCTTCCCAAATGTCACTTATATGGCTTGAATATTAACGTCTAATGTTCTGATATTACTAGTAGCAATAAGTTACTAGATTCTTTTCTAATTATTCTTTAAATCTTTGGTCCTTCATTCTCCTGCTTTAATCTCTCTTTTACTCCTTTTTTTAAACTTCCAAATTTATTGTATCAAAGGTGAGCTCAGGAGCTACAATCCCACCTCCCACTAACACAGATGACTAGGTCCCAGAGTGTGGCTTCTACATTTCCTTAGGGTTACCCCCAAGGGAATTGGGAAGGTATCTTTCTAATGCTGTAGCCGATGAGCTCTTCTCCGCCCCCCCCAAGTCCTTTCTACCTTGATTATCAATTGATTATGATTAATCAACCAGACCAAATTAATTTTTAGGTAATAAAAGCATTTGTTAAAGTGGTACAGTAAGAACAATTGGTACAAAACATTGCCCCAAAATCTCAAGCTTAGAAAGTGTGTATGGAAAAGGAATAATTCACAGTTCCTGAAAACCCTTTTATTGGAATCCCAAAGTTGTTCCTTTTGAGGCTTCATTTCTCAAATATATGGAGAATTGATCCAAATTTATAAGAATACAAGTCATTCTCTAATTGATAAATGTTCAAAGGCCATATATGAAGAGGCAGTTTTCAGATGAAGAAATCAAAGGTATCTATAGTCATATGAAAAAATGCTCTAAATCACTGTTGATTAGAGAAATGCAAATTAAAACAACTCTGAAATACCACCTCATACCTATCAGATTTGCCAATATGATAGAAAAGGAAAATAATAAATGTTGGAAGGGAAGTGGAAAAATTGGGACACTAATGCATTGTTGGTAGAGTTGTGAACTGATTCAACCATTCTGGAGAGCAATTTGTAACCATGTCCAAAGGGCTATAAAACTGTATACATCCTTTGATCCAGCAACACCACTGCTAGGTCTATAGCCCAAAGAGATTTTTTAAAAAGGGGAGGGGACCTATTTGTATAACAATAGTTATAGCAGCTCTTTTTCTGGTGGCTAAGAATTGGAAAATAGAGGGGCTGCCTTTCCATTGGGGAATGGCTAAACAACTTTTGGTATATGATTGTTATGGAATATTATTGTGCTATAAGAAATGATCAGCAGGCAAATTTCAGAAAGAAAAAAAAACCTGGAAAGACATGTATGACCTGATGCAAAGTGAAGTGAGCAGAACCAAGAGAGCATTGTACACAGTAACAATACTGTAAGATGGTCAAATATGAATGACTAGTAATCCAAGACAATTCCAAAGAACTCATGATGAAAAATGCTATCTCCTTCCAGAGAAAGAATTGATGGAGTCTGAATGCAAATCAAAGGATACTATTTTTCACTTTCTGTGATTTTTTTTGTGTTGTCTTTCCCTTTGGGTCTATGTCTTCTTTCACAACATGACTAATATAGTAATGTATGCTTGAACGTGTATTATCTATATCAAATTGCTGTCTCAGGGAGGCAGAAGGTGAGGGAAGGAGAAAGAAAATTTGGAACTCAAAAACTTTTTTTAAATCAAAATTACAAATTGTCTTTACATGTAACTGGGGAAAAATAAAATATTTTTTAAAAAAAAGATGTTCTCTTTGGAAAACTAGTATGGTATTGTTTTTTTTCTGTAGAGCCTAGAATCTTCTTTCAGTCTGTCCTTGGCTTCCAGCAGAGGTTGCCATCAGCTAGCTGATCTCAGGATGCTTGCTAGGTCTAGGATATCAGTGGTAAGATAAAGAAGTCCTCCAGAATACCTAGAAACAAGTTTACATGGTCTTCCTCTGATCAAGAGGAGACCAAGACCAAGGGCTCTGTTCCTACATCCCCCATCCCCCACCCCCTCCCACCCCCACCCCCCACTCAAAAATTGATTCATTGTCAGGAGTTGGAACATCCACCTCTCTGCTTGCTTGAATCTCTAAGGCCTTGAAATGGCTCAATATAGTAGAGATGACCCACAGATAATACCTAAGTTTCTTTAGCCTATCTGAACACAATTCCTGCCAATATCATTCTAGTTTATTCTATGACTTTCAGGCACTAAATCTAAAATCTTTAATTGCTTGATTAAATAAAAGTATGAGGGCTAAATGGGATGGAGGAATTGCAGCATCTTTCCTGAGGGTCCATTATTGGAGGTATTTGTAAGTTAAATGTTCCACTTATCTGTTTTTTAAGATTTTGTTTTTTGCTGAAAGGCCTCTCTATTGTTGAACATACATCTTTTTCCTGATGATTAATACCAGGTCTGCAGTAAATACGATTTTAGGTTGAAGCTTGGCCACCTTTAGTTTTCAAAATATGCTTTTCTTTCTGTATTCTCTCATGGCTGCAGAATGAGATGAGGAAATATGAAAGAACACCAAAGTTATGAGCCTAGAAGACAAGAAAAATGGTGATGCCTTCTCCCTGACCCCACAGCTATGATCAGTCATTAAATCCTGCTTTTTCTACCTTTACATCTCTCAGTGTCTGACCCTCTCTCTCTATTCATACACCACCACCTGAATTCAAGTCAGGCCCTCATCTTCACTTACCTGGTTTATTGCATTGACCTCCTAATTGTGATCCCCCCTTTGGTTCTCTTCCCATTTCAGTCTGTCCTTGACTCTTGCCAAAGTGATTTCTTTAAATGTACATCCAACCATGTCACAGCCCTGTTTAATACACTCCAATAGCTCCTAATTTGATCCTAGGATCAATAACAACTCTTTTGTTTAGTTTCTAAAGTCTTTGCAACCTTGCTGTAACCCATCTTTCCAATCTCATGAGATTCTTGCACTCTTGAAATTCAGCAAGATTGACCTTTTCTCTTTCTCCCCCACACAACACTCCTCTCTCTTCTTGCTTTTGTACTGGCCTTCCCCTATACCTGGAATGCATCTTAGCTGCACAGAATCCTTCTCTTCCATTAGGACAATGTTCAAGTCAACTCAAAGGAAGTCAGTAAACACATTTAAACCACCTTTATGTTCCAGGCCCTAAGACTGTGCATAGTACCTGGCACATGTTAGTCACTTAATAAATGCTTTATAATTGGTCAATTGACTGATAGGTAGGTAGAAACAGACCTGAATGTTAGCTCTGATGGAGCCAGACCCAGATTCCAGGAATTTCACTGGTTTTTCCTCCCATACCTGGAATAATCTCCCTTCTTATTTCCATCTCCTGGTTTTCCTGAATTTCTTAAACTCCTTGTTAAAATTCCGTCTTATATAAGAAGTCTTTCCAGATCTCTCTTAATTCTAGTGTCTTTCCTCCACTGATTATCTCCGATTTATCCTTTTTATGTCCTACCTGTACATAGGTGTTTGCATACGGTCTTCCCCACCATTAGACTGTGAGGTCCTAGAGAGCACTGACTATTTTTTACTTTTCTTTATATGCCCTGGACTCAGAGGCTGGCACATAATAGGTACTTTATCAATGCTTATTGACTGATTAAATGTTAATTGAATTGAAAAGCCACGATTAAGGAAAATTCCAAAATTTCTTGTCCAAATGTTTCAAAGTATTTACATAACAAAGTAACATGTTTTGCCTACATTTGATCAAAAACAAAACAAGTTTATGATATAAATTATTGCAAAAGACTTGGGAGGGTAGCTAAATCATCATTATTCAAATTTTATAATTTTGTGCTTTTAATTACTTATTAAAATGAAAACATTTTTAGAGTTTTTGAACAAATGGGGGAAATATTTAGCTAAAATAAAGCATTAGTGAAGTCAATGATAACCGTGTGATATTGGCATTTTCTTGTCTCTTAGAGATAATAAAAGGAGATATGCTATTAAAATTACTTTCTAACAATTTTTTGCTTCATCCGTTACTATATGTGGTGAAAGATTTCTCCAGCATTGATCATGTATTGTCTTCTCCTTCTCTTGCATTGGTAATATAATTTCAGATTTCACCTATCACTTTTGTTTTTAAATACTTCATAGAATCATAGACTTATATTTGGAAGGAACCTTTAA